CAGTCTTTCCAGCAGTTGTGATTTGATATCAGCAGACATGTCCTAAATTCGTCGTCTGCTCTTTAGCAGAAACAGACGTAACATTAACCATCCGTTGTTGTTGCTGGTGGTAGTCCTCGCCCTTCCTCTCAAAAAAAGCCCGGTCTTTTTTTTACATAATCTGGATGCTTGGTCTCGAGGTGCCTCTTCAATTTGGCAGGCTTCATCGCCTCATTGGCAAGACACCGCAGGCATATCAGACATTTCGGTTTCCCTTCCACTTCAATAAATCAATATTGGAGATACTCCTCATCGTATTTCCTTACTTTTGTTTTTTGTTTTTCATTTACTTCATTTGTAGCCGTAACCGGTCGTTTTAAAAACCTGTCCATCTTCGTAGTATGCTAGCCGTGTTATATCTCTATGATGCTAGCAGTGGCGCTCTCTGACTGACGTACCAGTTATTGTTGTTTCCATGGCAAAGGGTGACGCGCTTGATTTTTAAATGTATAAATTTGTTAGATTAGAACGTAATCTATGAACTATTTTAGATTAAAAAATATATATATTATTTGTTGAACTATGAAGCATTTTGTTAAAAATGAAAAAAAATGATATCATGATAATTTAAATTAATGAATCTGAAAACTTTTCACGGACCCCCTGGCAGATTGCCACGGACTCCCGGAGGGTCGCGGACCCCACATTGAGAACCACTGGTCTAAGAGACTGTCAGTTTAAGGCCCGTCCGATAGTGCATCTCAAACAACTCTGTGTATTTGTAATTTCTATTTCTAATTTCTAAGTATTTCTAACTTCTTATAACACCTTGAGTGTTTGCGTAGCTTGGATTTTTCGCAGCTCTTGTGTAACGTGTTATTTTTTTTGTGTCCAGAGCTACAGGAGCAGGGGGGATGAACCGCGAGGAGGCCCCGGGGAAGTCTCCTGAAGACATGTACGTTCAACAGAAAGTGCGGGTCCTGCTCATGCTAAAGAAAATGGGATCAAATGTAAGTGCAGTCTTGCCTAACACAAACTTTGGTTGTGCAACATTTTGGACATTTACAGATTAAAGAAACTGCAGAAAACAATTAGAAGTGCTGTCTATTGTCCAGTTTATGCACATCAGTGGTTGTCTCTTGAAACAGCCATCAAGACAAATAATTATCAAAACCAATAGAAACATTATTTCCTAACAGAATCATTATTATTGTAAGTCTGTATCTATTAATTAGATTACAGTAAAGTCTCCTTTCCATGCCAACTCACATTTGTTTTCCAAAGATACAAACCAGTCTAGCCAGAGATACCAGGATAAGAGGCTCAACTTCCAGGGACTGAAAGACTGACTTACATTAGCATGAGAAAAACATTAATTTGCTGTCCATCAAGATAACATTTTGTGTGGTTTTATAACTTGAAATGTAAATTGTTTTCTCTTCAGCTGACGCCCAGTGAAGAGGCTTTTCTCCGGAATTACGCAGGTGTGGTCCACAGTCAGATGAGCCAGCTACCACAGCACAACATAGACCAGGGTAAGACCTCGACACACACACTTTATAGTTAGTGTAGTTTGAATGTTTCATATCTATAAAAAAAATAGTTTTTGCCCTTAAAAGGATTGAAGGCCTTTAAAAATAACATTTACCTCAGCTCACACGCCACCTCCACATGTCACAAAAGTGTTACTTTGCTCAGACGACAAGCAAAAATCCCTTCACATGCATCACTCCTCTTGAGCCTTTAACCCCAACAGGCGTAACGGATTGAGGCTGACTCACTCGCTTTGAGATGACTCACACAGCAAACACTGAGAAAGACTGGAACAGTGACTCAGCATCAGTGCAGCGCTGCTTCTCCCAAACGGCTCAGAAGGGATATGATAAAGCAAATCACTGTTCATACTGTGTGTTGTAAGACTTGTTTACCCAGTGGTGATCATCCGTTTCAATCCACCAGAGAGCACTGTTGAGCTGTCTTTATCTCATCTACAGTTTTAAATTTGTCTTACCACAAGAGGGCGATAGATGAAAACAGTGTGTGTGGAGGCACTGCAGTTACCCAAGAAGATGGCAGCAAATGGTTTCATATGTTCTATAACTAGCCTCATAAGGGGCTTTCCAGGCTCAGCCCAAACACTGCCTTCAGATAGGAGCCCTGCGGTCCTCCTGTGGGGCCCGGGCCTTACTTTGTCGCTCATCATATTGGTCTCTCCGGGGAGCTTTGAGTCAGGAAAATTTCCTGCGACATTGGCCCGTGTCCTTTCCCTCCTAGGAAACAATCAGTTGTTTGCATTGATACATTTGTGATTACCTGTGTTGAAGAAGGTTTGGGGATTATGGTAAAACAGGGTATTAAGAAGTCACAGTGACTTTGTCTTGTTGTCCTTCACCGGTCCTTTAATCATCTTTGCTTGAACCTGCAGGGTATTGAACTGCATTGTCACGTTTTGGTAAAATCAGCCCCAATATGCAATATGAGGTGCATCATAACAATGTTAATGTGGATCATTGCATCTTTGGCAATAGTGTATATTGCATTATTACAATGTGTTTCGTCATTTAGCAGCAGTACATTACATCAGATGGGAAGGATGGTGCTTGAAAGGTGCAGCACCAAAAACGGGTGATCTTAAGTGATTCATTTATGAATGATGTTTCCTGTCTGTTCTAACCACCGTAGACTAGATTTCAGTTTGTGCTGCATGCCCTCGGTCTCTGCCTTTGTGCCCTTTAGTAGATACAGGACTCCATGTCTCTGTGCAGTCAATACTGCTAAGAAGGGCCTCATTAATAATGGACGAATACGACTGGTGAAAGGTGCTCCGAGTATGCATTATACATCACAAAAATAGTCACATTTAGTGTAATTTGGCAGACTGCCACATCCTCAGTGTGCCAATAAATGATTTGTGGTCTGCGTCTTTTCTCAAGTACCGTGATTAGGCATCATGGAGATAGCTGAGAGTTAATCACTTTTAAATGTCCAACGCTGAAGGACAGCAGTTTGTAGGTGTAGAGGCTAAGCCAACGCTTTAAGCCTCTGAGGATCCGCTATGTTGGCGTAATTGACGCGCACAAAGTATCAGCACTTTGGGGGTCCTTTTTGAGGTTGTTTGAGTAGGGAATAACACACTGTTTGATCTCATTTAGATTTGGTAATAGGGGGGGAAATAGATGAAGGGAAACATTTTATTGCCTAGCAACTTGCACAGTCATTGCCTCTTAAAATGTATATTTCACAGAAGCAAAGACTTCCAACAAAGTGTAATATAACAAAGCAAGATTGTATTTGATTCATCTTGAAGTATCGTCCATTCTGTAATTATTATAATACAGTTTAGGGAAAAGATAATACACATTGTTTGAATTTCAATGTTTGAGTTGTACTTGGCATAGTGGAGTTTGTTCTCTCTGTGTTTCACTCTGTTCTCACTTCATTATAACGGCGGTAGACCTTTACCCCGTCTCTCTGTATGCAGCAGCAGTACTGTCTGTCCTGGTTGACCGTCACACAGCAGCAGACACACTCCCTCTGTGACTAGCCAGCACATTTCCAGGCAGAGGTTGTTTTTCTATGTCTCGTCTTTTATCATTGTTGAATCTGGTCACAGCAGTTTCATCTTTTAGACTTCGTACCGGCTAGAGTAGCTTCAATTTATTTTACTTTTTTTGTACTGGTTAGCTTGAACAATACTTCAATTGTGAGAAAGATTCTTAACAATCTCTAGGGCTGCCCCCGACCAAAGATTTTCCTGGTCGACCACTGGTCGTCAGGTAAGGCCACTGGTTGACCACTGATCGACCAGTGGCGCGAATGAAAGCGCACGCAGAGACAAACCGCCTTTTTCGCGCAACCGGCAAGTAATTAAATTATGATTCTGAATGTGTTGGAAAAATCAACAAGGAGACTGTCTTAACATTTTGTTAATTTATTTCAACACAACACACCATATAAAAACATCACACAACTTATGAACTTTTAAAACCAACACAATAACTTTATCAAACAAACAAAAAACAGTCTTCTGTTAAAAAACTAAATTTAAACTATATTTTTCGTTTCTTTTAAACATGTAAAATAAATATAAATTATATAAACAAACGAATAAATAAATATAGGCTCAAGCCAACTTAAATATTTAAATATCGGTGCAAAAGTAAACAGGCCTACAGAGAAGTATTCTCAACATGAAAATAAAACTTTCAGTTTTTTCCTGAGGTCGGAATGCAAAAAAAAATTATAAATATACCGCAAAACTTAACTTAAACACTTCAGTTGAACGAACGAAGAACCAAAACTATAAACTACAAAACTATGGTGTTATATTAGGCTAGGCCACTACCTGACTTTCAGGGTTTCCCTCCGATCTTAGTCTTCTCATATTATGAGACAAGAACACGAGTTTGTCTGTGTTGTCCGGGAGAAGTGAGCTCCGTGTCTTGCTCACAATGAAGCCGGCTTTGGAAAATATGCGCTCCGATGGCGTGGATGTGGAAGGGATGGAGTGGATGCGCTTAGCTGCTCTGGCAAGCTTGGGATAGCGTTCCTCATTCATTTTCCACCAAATCAGTGGTCCCTTGTCAACCTTGGTTCGGTCCTCCAAGTATGTCTTCATTTCATTTTTCTCTTCTTCCGTCCGGTCACTGCGGGAACACCTGCGAAGTTTTTTTCACGGTTCCGGTTGTCGGCGAGAGTGAAACTTTGTCTTCGTTGTCTTACACACGATTGTGTTTGACTATGTTCTACACAGGTGTGCTACCTCGAGGTCGAATAAGTTCACGACTTCGCAGAAAAGACCTTGTCTCTACAGGCAAATGTCGACCACGAAAGTCTTGGGCCCCTGGTGGGTGGTCAGACTGGCTCTAGACCTAGAGGTTCGACCGGGTTACCTCGCTGTCGCCTCGCTGTAACGAGAGGCACGACCTGGCTACGTCGTGGGAGTGCTCCGACCGAGAGTGTTCTATATTGCCGTAGAGACAGACGATGCGACGGCTGACGAGCAGTGTACTTCTTCCGGCGGTGAACCACCTCAGCACTTACTACTGTCGTGCTGGCACTTCCGCGACCAATTCTTTTTTTAGTGGTTCCTTTAGCGTTTTCCACCCTCGAGTGTCCCTCAGACCTCCCGTCGTAAATATAAGTCGACGTCAGGCAACTGGGTGCCAAGTTCTCGAACAGTAAGGAGGCCACGTCTCTTTGCCTGTACGTATGTGTTGCCACACCCTAGACCGACTCTCAAATAGAGGTCCGCTTCTTCGAGATGACGAGTCTCTCTCCTGTCGTCGCCGCGTCTCCTTTCACTCGGGTGTGGTCTCCGTTTTTCCCTTTCGTCGTCCTGTAGTAATAGTTACGCTACCGGAAACACACTT